CTTCCGACTCTGAACTTTCTCAGTCAGGATCTTGTTCTGGTCCTCACTGCTGTGAACCTGCTGTGTCAGGATCTTGTTCTGGTCCTCACTGCTGTGAACCTGCTGTGTCAGGATCTTGTTCTGGTCCTCACTGCTGTGAACCTGCTGTGTCAGGATCTTGTTCTGGTCCTCGAGCTGCTTGAGTCTCTGGTCCCAGCTCTGGTTTTGCTGGTCCAGGTCCTCGAGCTGTCTGTCCTGCAGAGCTCTGAACTGTTGCTGCCACGCTTTGTGGGTTTCCATAAAATAGGCTCTGGTCCTCGTGAGCTCCTTCTCAGTCTCACTGAGCCTTGCGGACAGACTCTCCTTCTCTTTCATATCCTTAATTTTCCTCTCCTTCTCCAGTCTGCGTCTCTGCCTCTCCAGGGTCTTCTGGCCACTTTTCACCCACTTGTTGTGGGAGACCAAACCTCTCCTGGTGTTGATGCAGAGGTCCTTTTGTGTCCTCTTTGTGGAGCAGCTTGTTCAGGGCCTCAGTCAGTCTCTGAGACAGACCCTCCACCTGGTCCAACTGGTCCTTCAGTTGCCGTCCAGTTTCTGGTGGTCCTGCTTCAGTCTGGCAGCAGCCTTCTCCTTCTCCAGCTGCAGGCTGTCCACCTGCTCCGAGCGGGATTTAAGGTCAACATTCAGTTGGAAGATCTGCTGCTTGTAGGATTTGAGAGTCTCGCAGCCGTTTTTGACCTCGACTGCGAACTCCCTTTCCCTGAGCTCCAGCAGACCCTTGAGTCTGTTGATTTGCCACTTTAAATTGTGGATCTTGAAGCAGAACTTCTTCCTTTCAGGCTCAAGGCTCATCCTGTGCTCCACCACGCTCGTCAGCTCACTCTGCTGACGGTGGTTGCTCTCCTGAGCCTGGTCCAGGTGGGCCTCCAGATGGCAGATGTCTGGGGTCGACCTTAAAGTCTCAACTTCGTCAAAACAAACCCTTCTCTTCGTCTTATTTCCTGGATTATGTCCGGGATTGTTTGCTGGGACCTTGTTGATCAGGTCTGATCTGGTGAAGGTCCTGCTGTATATGAAGGTTGTTTGTGGATCCATTGTCAGACAGTGTTTGCTGTGATAGACTGTGAGTGTCTGTAGCGTCTCTGTAGTGGTTTGACTCTTCTGGTACACAGTGCTTGAGTGTGCAGTGGAACGAGTTTAGACTCTGTGGTCCTCCTGAGGTCTATTTACAGGTTCTCAGACAGACGGCAGAGTTTTTTTTTTGTCATTTTTATTTATGTTTAAAAAGTGGGAGGAGCTCCATCAAATTCCTGAAATTCATTAATTGTTTCTCATTAATAATGTTGGTTAACTGACAGCTGAAACACTTCTGTAGTTTGGATCTGCATCAAAGTGGTTGAATCAACTGAGTGAGACAGTTCCCACTAACAGCAGATACGGCAGCTAGGCTAACAGCTAAGTAAGAAAACTGAAAAAATAGACACAGCTGGCCAAACTCTCCGAGTTTTCTTTCTGTGAAGAAAACTAAATAAAAAAACGTATGTCTAGAACTATTTTGTTCATGTTTTCTTATGCATTATGGTTTTTTTTAATAAAATTTGATTGAATTTGATAAAAAAAAAACAGGTCAAATTTATAATTTTTTTATTTATGACTCAATTTCAGTACTTTATTCAATTATAATGGTTTATTGACTTTTATAACCTTTTAACTTTAACAGTTTACGGATTAAATTATCACAATAAGAAAAAATACCAATTTAACCACTGAAGGATCTAAACTTTGAAGCACTGAACATTATTATTATTATTATTATTTATCAGTGTATATTATTATTATTATTGATCACAGTGTACAGAGCTTCAGTCTCTGATCAACAGCCTCGTCCTGCATCAGAAAGCAGACAGCTGATAGATCAATAAACAGTGAATCTGTCAGAAAGAAGAATATTAAGTCTGATTGTTGAAATGATAAAAATACAGAATACAGACAGAGAATGTATCAATATATCAGGAAAACTGAACGGTTTGGGTTCATTGATCATTGATCATTGGAACATATATATACATACAGTCAGTTCACTTAATAAAAAAGAAGGTTGGGAATATTAATATAATAAAACAATGAATAAATATCTGTAAATATTGATTTATTTATTTTATTTTTTGTGCTGTCAGTTAAACGCGTTATTAACGGCGTCAATTTTTTTATCGCAAGATTAACGTTTGTTTAACTTTGTAGTTTTTTTCACATGCTGTTGCAACAACTAGTAACGTTAGAAAAACTACAACACCACACCGGATCTAGCTAGACCGGAAACAAAACAACAGGCACGCCGCACACACTTGTTTAAGAGTAGTAGACGTTACGTTTTGAGTGGATGGCGAGCGCGAGACACCGAAATGGATGCCAATAATATTCTGAATGGGAAGTTTACTTTTAAAAAGTTGCCAAATGGTTCCATTGACAAGACCAAAGTGATCTGTGTGTTTTGTTGTTGTGAACTGAGCTATCATCGCAGCACGTCCAGTCTGAAATACCACTTGATGGCCGAGCACACAGCTGATGCGAATTCTCCGCCCCCTCGTCAAAGCCAGGCGACAATGGATGATTTTTCAATACAAACAACATCTGCACAAAGCAAGCCGATCCACTTTTCCATGTTGATAAGAGCATTAAAATGAGAAAAAATAATGGGACAAAAAGAAATCAAGGGACATTTAGAATAGATAAAAATGTGCGATTAATTGCGAGTTAACTATGACATTAATGCGATTAATCGCGATTAAATATTTTAATCGTTTGACAGCACTAGTTTTTTATGTTATACCATGGATTTGTGTAAATTGCAAAAAAAACCCAACAGTAATATTCTGTCAGCTGGGCACCAAAAAAACACAGTAAATTAAAGAAAATTACAGTAATTCTCTATAATTAAAATACAGTTTTTACTGTGTGTAATCTTTTGTCTTTTTTATGTTTAATTAAAGATATTTACAGTGTAAAACTGATCTATAAATCCAGGTGAACTCTGCTATAATACAATAATCAGACTTACATTTACAGCAGAGCGCTGTTATTATTGGATTGTTATTATTTTAATGTGAATGTTAAAAGTTATAGAACTGTAATAAAAGTCATTATCTGTGAAATTACAGTAATTATTGCTGTTTACACTGATAACAACTGTATTTGGACAGTTTACCAATGCTTATACACTGATAAACAACATTTATTCAACTTCCATCATTATACAATATATCTGTCAGTTAACTAACACATTAAAATTACACAACTAATATTTTTTACTGTTAATGTCACTTTTAATTTTACATAATTTGAGTTTAACAGTTTAATTTATTAAATAAACAGTAAATATCTGCAATAGATAGATTTGCAAAATGTATTTTGATGTGAAAAAAGTAAATTAATAGTGTATATTAGCTATGTAATATCAGTATAACACCAATACTATATATTAATATTAATATCAGATGCTTGAATGAACCCGGTTTATAGGCACAGCTGGCTGATAGAAACATTTCATTCTTTTAACCAAATGACGAGTCAATCACAACGAAAACTAATAAATGAAACTAATAAATATAATTGATTATTACGTAATCTGTGGAGCAGGAAGCAGTGACTCAAACCTTCAGGGAGGATTATTCAGCACAAACTGCTGCACAGCGTTACTCTCATATCCTCAGTTTTATTACATTCGCCTCCAAAATCTGAATTTTATTTATTTATTTATTTGCTTATTTCGTTGATTTTGCTGCAGTTTTCTCCCCGGCGTCTGTAAATTTAATCTCCTGTTCTTGCGTCTCTCACCTCCTCGCACTGTCACCTCCCCTCGCTCGCCCTTTTTGTTCTCAAAGCCTGAAGCTGCCGCCCCTCCTCCATCCATTTACACTGAGTGTGTGTGTGTGTGTGTGTGTGTGTGTGTGCCTCTCATATCACTGGACACACCATCTACCCCCCACACACATCCAGCTCTTTGCTATCTCCTCAAACATCCCTATCTCATTATTCCTCTCTCTCTCTCTCTCTCTCTCTCCCATCCTCCCTCTCTCTCTCTCTCTCTCTCTCTCTCCCTCTCTCTCTCCCTCTCTCTCTCTCTCTCTCCTCTCTCCCTCTCTCTCTCCCTCTCTCTCTCTCTCTCTCTCTCGATGTGTCGCGATGCGTTCGGGGAACAGGTGTTCAGTCAGCGTACAGTCAGCCGGAGCCGGAGCTCCGCAGTAAGGGACTCTCTCTCTCGCACACGCGTACCCAGGACCGAGCATAACATCTGGGGGCTGCCTGCCGGAGTCTCTGCTCCCCCTCTGGAGATGCTCCAGAGCTCCAGAGAGCCAGAGGCAGCCCGGAGGCGTCAGACAGAGAGGTTTAACCCAGCGGAGGAGACTCACAGGCTGGGATAGATCTGCTGCTGAACCAGATCCTCACAGTCTTTAGTGAGTATTATCCACGCTTTAAATCTACAGAAGTTCTTTTTACTCGACTTCGGCAGCTTTGCGGGAAGTTTCGCGGCGCACTTTTGATCCGACAGGTGTCTCGTGGGGTCTCGGTGAAGCAGAATAGTTCTGTGTTTGGGTTCTGGTGCAGGATTGTCGACCAGTTTGGGTGCACTGGGATCTATGGGAGCCTCGTCTGCTCGCCTTTGCTGCAGTCCGGCGTAAAGTCGCATCTTCGCTCGGAAAAGTAAAATAAATTGCAGAAGACGTTTGACTCTTTAACGGCAGCGTTTGTTGTCGCTATGGTGACAGTCTGACACGGCGGAGACTGAAGGAGCTTCTGTGTTTGGACTCGTGGACTCGTGAAGGTGTGAGAACTTCCTGGACGTCCTCTCCTCTCGTTCTGGAAACACCGAGGACTTTCTCTCTTATCCGTCTTTGTGGATTTGTCCAGCTGTGGATTTATTGTCCTCAGGTTCTCATCCACCCCTCTTTTCTTCTTCTGTGTGTGTGTGTGTGTGTGTGTGTGTGTGTGTGTGTGTGTGTGTGTGTGTGTGTGTGTGTCAGGTCGGACAGTAAGATCTCTCGGTTGGCCCAGAGGTGGAACCAGAGGCCGGCAGGAGATGCTCTGATCAGAGACCTGAAGCCCCTGTGTCACACGGGAATCCCCCGATCCTCACTCAGCCTGGACAGGTGAGGACACACGATAGGAAAATAATGGATGATAACGTCGAAAGTCTTCAATTTCAGCTGTAAGTCTAAAGCACTACATCTCCCAGGGTGCATTTCAGTGACAAACAACCAATCACTGAGCATGTAGACTTTAAAACTGCTGTACTTTTGGTGATTCTGTTTTCTTCACATATTCTTCAATGAAGCTTCAGCTCTGTTTCACATCTCCGACTGGCTTCTTCGCCATAGCAACAGCAGCTGAGGCTCATGGGTATTGTAGTGTTTGGAGCCAACCACAAAAGCTGAAAGACAGAACCAGAGGAATAATGGATCAGCTGATTATCTTAAAGTCTGTTTGTGGTCAGTTTAACCCGTAGTTGAGTCGGTTTAACCCGTAGTTGAGATGGTTTAACCCGTAGTTGAGATGGTTTAACCCGTAGTTGAGATGGTTTAACCCGTAGTTGAGATGGTTTAGAAAAAAATAGTTTTAGTTGAGTAACCCGTCGGTTAACAGCTAAAGCCCAGTTCAGACCAAAGATTTGTGATTAGCTGAGTTGCAACCTGCCGGTCTGCCAGTTCACATCAGTGTGACTAGAAGACACGGCGTAACCATAGCAACGACTATCCGTACGAGCTGCCGGCTTTAAGGTTGTTTTTTTAGCCGGGTATAATTTGTTGGCGTCTTAAAAAACGAGAATTTGGAGCCGTCAGTGGGAGTAAATGTAAAGGTTTGCGTCTCACAGACATTGTTCCTCACATAAATCTCCATCCACACCAGCCGTCTTCGCTACGAGCCGGTTGGAAGAGACGCCGTCAGCGAGATTGAGTCGATCCGAGCCGGGCCGGTTCAGCGTTATCAAGCGGTGTCGTCTGGTTGTGAGTTTTCGGTCTGAACTGGCTTTACACACACACAGTGCTGTTGCCATGGTTACCTGCAGTTTAATATGAACCTCAAGCTCTGATTTTTTTTATAAAAGGTGGTTAAACTGTTGACCTGAACTACACACACACTGTAACACACACACACACACTGTAACACACACACACACACACACACACACACACCCACACACACACGCACACACACATATTCACAACAGCTGTGTAATGAAATGCATTTGTCGGGGACTATTTTCAGTGGCGGATTAATCCACATTTGGTCCCGACCCTTTTCTATCGTATAGTAAACTGACTCAGTCAGAAATACTTAATGGATTTTTCATTTTATGAAGTTTGTGTAAAATCAGTGATTTGAATACATTTTGATTATTTCCTGTTTAGGGTTAATGTTCACACACACACACACACACACACACACACTACACACACACACACTCACACACTCACACACACACACACACACACACACACTCACACACACCACACACACACACACACACACACACACACACACACGGTATAAGAGGAGTGGAGCCAGGATCCTCTGCAGTTACAGTCTTAATGTTACAGACGAGGTCTCTTGCTGAGCTGCAGTGGAGCCGACTGCAGCAGTTACAGCACAGAGCAAAAACACCTGAATAAAACATTGTTTTTTGTTCAAGGCCTGAGAAAACAAAAGAGTCATTAACACACACAGTCATAGAAAATACACACAGACACGCTGCTGTTACATACTGATGTTACACACTGCTGTTACACACTGATGTTACACACTGATTTTACACACTGCTGTTACACACTGCTGTTACACACTGCTGTTACATACTGCTGTTACACACTGATTTTACACACTGCTGTTACACACTGATGTTACACACTGCTGTTACACACTGCTGTTACATACTGATGTTACACACTGCTGTTACACACTGATGTTACACACTGCTGTTACACACTGCTGTTACACACTGATGTTACACACTGATTTTACATACTGATGTTACACACTGCTGTTACACACTGCTGTTACACACTGCTGTTACATACTGCTGTTACACACTGATTTTACACACTGCTGTTACACACTGATGTTACACACTGCTGTTACACACTGCTGTTACATACTGATGTTACACACTGCTGTTACACACTGATGTTACACACTGATGTTACACACTGATGTTACACACTGATTTTACACACTGATGTTACACACTGCTGTTACACACTGCTGTTACACACTGATGTTACACACTGATTTTACACACTGCTGTTACACACTGCTGTTACATTACTGTAAACAGATATATTGAATGAATTAATCAGTTTTGTGTTATTAAACCTGAGAGGTGATAATTAACCCATCAGTAAAGGTTTTAGCATTCAGGTCATTTTAATTTAAGTGTTGTTACAGGGTTGAACAATAAGGTCTCATCAGCTGGTTGTTGTTCTCCATTAATAACTTTATGAATATTTTAGGATTCACTAACAGTTCCGGATATCTCCTGTGTGTTTACTGACTGAACAATTATAAAGCAATTTGTTCCTTTTTAATAATTTAAAGTCTCTCGTTCTCATCAATGAACATCTGCAGATATATGGGGGGTTGAAAGATTGATATTTGGATCAATTCGTAGGCTGAAACCAATTATGTTTAACAAGCTGTGTGTTCAGCTGTTTCAGTCTGTTTCAGTCAGTCTGTGTGTTGATGCGTCGGTTCTGTTTGACTGAAGTTGTAAGGTTTATACGAGCTTTACATTGTTTATGTTACAGCTGTTTCTCTCCAGCTGTGCTGATCACTAAACTGACTCTCAGCCTGTTTCTTTACATTAATGAATCCCATGTTGTGTTTAAAGGTGTCTTTCTGTGGTTATTTTGGATCTTTGGTGGAGCCGCCCCAGGGACGGATGTAACAAATGGGGGCTCGTCCAGGATAGACGGTTCATACTGCAGTTTTGGTCAAAATTGAGTTCTGACTGAAAGTGTTTTTAATCTTTTATCTTGTGACACATTTTCTAAGTTCAGTCTTGTTCTGTCTTTAAGAAAAAACAATGTAAAAACTGCGGTAACAACAGAATCCAGCCAAAAAACAAACCACAGTCACTGCGCTCTCCCTCAGTTTCCGTAAATCCTGCATTCTGGAGAACTTCAGGAAAATGTAGGAATTAAAACAACTTTCTCCACTGGGAACTCTCACTGACTCCATCTGTGGATTATTAGCTGAGCCCATTGTAGCATCAGTAGGCAGGTAGCAGCTGGGGTTTGCACATTAAATGGGTTTGGATGACTCTACTTTTTGATTGATTGTTGATTAAATACGTGTCTGTGCACCACAGAATTTATCTTCAGGGTGTCTAACAGGTTGAGATCTGGTGTCTTCAGACATTATGAGCACAGGCTCACACGCTGCCGTCAGATACAGTATAATGTAAGTGGTCAAAAAATCACAGGAAAAGATGTTTCTCCCTCTGTTTTAAACGCGCAGTATGTCAGATATAATTACAGATACAGTGTGACTGACAACCTGTTGAATCCTGCAAATGACCAGAAACCTTAAAATCTTTCTTTTCTGTTTTATTATTTTTGAATCCACCGACCTTCTTCCACTTTTTCTTCTTTCTCAGTTTTTATGGATGATTTATCAACCGCGGTCTGCTGTGTGTTTACATTAATCTGTATGGACATTGAATATGGGGCGTTACCAGCTCACACTCAATAACCTTCAGCAGTGCGTTGACTCAGTGAAGTCCTGCTGGGCTGAGAGCACAACAATCAGCTGAAACCTTCATCCGACGCCTGCAGCAGCCGCAGAACACTGTTGGTTTTTCATATCAAGAGCTGTTTCACCAGGAATTAAGATAAAGAGTTGAATAAAAATAACAACTGAAGTGCTTTTATTTGCCACAAAGAGTAAAATATCTGATGATAGAATCACAATCACAAATATTAATATTTGAACTCACAAACATTTTATTGTGGCACATTAGTGAAGCATTTAATGGAATTATATAAAGCTGATATTAGAAATCAATCCTAACAATGAGAAAAGAGGAAGTTGTTGTCTTCACCAGTCAGCTTCTCCCGGTTAGGATTCCTTCAGTTTATACACGGTTTAATGAGGAAATGTTACAGATTGTAGATGAAATGCTTTACAGTCAGAAACAATATATGTGATGATATCAGTTATCCTCAGAAACAATGTCAGTTCGCCTCCCTTCATCCAAACCACCACAGAAGCTGTTTTTGACGTCTCAACATGTCGGTGACATGTTGAATTTGTCCAAGCGTGATGCAGAGAATGAGCGAGGGCCGGGGGGTCGACAGGAGGTCATTTAGGAGCCAGATGAAAAACTGAAGCAATCTTTTCTGACAGTGGAGAGCTTGAGGCGACAGCGAGACGATGGTTGTTGATTTTCTGTCTCTGACCCCTTTTTGATTCAGTCGTCGATGTTGTAATACCTGAGAGAGGTGTAATGTTCATCCATCCTTTCTTCTGGTGTGGTCTCGTAGACATCCATTACCCAGGGTGCAACGTTAATGAATGCAAATCTATTTGCCCAAAGTATATTTTTACTTGCCCCTGAACGAATTGTGTTTTTATTATCAATTATCACAAGACTCTTAGCTACATGACGTGAAAATGACCCGTTGGTATTTTGGTATTTTACTGGAAACTTTTCAGTTCAGCTTCACACTGACCTTCGATATCAGTGGCTACATGAGTCTCCTGTTTTAGCTTAGCTCACGTTTTAATGCCTTTCTTCGTCATCTTTGATGAAAACATCAGATTTCCACACAGAAAGTAAAAGTCTGCATCCTCCATAGTTCAGTTTTAAAATCCCAGCTCACCGCGAGCGTCTCTGTAAATGAAGCTGAAATAACGACATCATGATTTATAAAAAGTCTGATTTCAGACTGCAAGACGACGAGCAAACAACTTTTAAAATGCTTCTTTTCTGAATGGAGTTTGGTTGATCAGAGCTATGCTAACAGACACATATTTTCCCGACTCCCTCTCTTCCTTTTCTCCCTACCTCTGTTGTTATTTGATAACGCTAATAAATGAAATCATTTGTATAAAGGCTAATAAAAACGTTTTCTCTCTCCCACCGTCCCAGCAGACGCCTCCCGGGTGTCATGACCCAGCAGATGCAGAACCTGCAGTTGTCCCAGACCAGGAAGTGCCCCGGCGGGCCAGCCTCCCCCAGCGCCGCCAAGCGCCTCTACCGGAACCTGTCGGAAAAGCTGCGAGGAAGCACCTCCTCCTTCGAAGATGCCTACTTCTTCGGAAAGACGGACCGCCTCCGCAAAGCCTCGGTGAGTCCGCGCTGAACCGTAACAGAACCGCAAGCTTCAATAAACCTTCAACCTGAGAAAGTCCGCGTTGACTGAAACCGGCTCTTCAACAAATCGATTGATCGGTGGGAAAAAACCTGCACGTTATTTCTGTTAACTAAATCTCCCACTGAGTGCTGCACATACTCTCCTCCTGTCGCTGCCTCTGGGCGTCTTTGTAAATGAGAGTCAGTTCTCAGTTGTCGTATCTGCTTAAATACAGGTCAAATGAACACAAATGATAATAAAAATAAAATACAGTGCTGCAGAAACATGAGAAAACATCCAACCTGCTGCTGTCGTTTTTTATTTGGCTTCAAATTAAGTTTAACGTTCTCACAGTTTCTCTGACTGTCCTGTTACAACACGAGTCCAGAATCCTGCAGCCTGAGACAGTCGACACTTAGCAACAAGCTAACACAAAGTTCAGCAAGAACATTCACACTAAAACAACATAAAACAAACTGAACTTACAGCCGCTAATGTTATTGATCCATTGAACCTTGGTTATTAGCCCTCGTTACTCTGCTCCTCTGAGGCTGAGGGCTGATGTTCAGGTTGTTATCTGCCATTGTGACAGTTAGTTTGACGCTCAGTAAGTGTTCACTAAGTTCAGTCCTGCCGGTTGAAGCTGTGAGTTGCAGCTCTTCTATTAAAGCCAACGATTATTAAAACAGAACCCCGTTAGTTGAGTAAAATGTTGATTACCAGCGTTATCTCTAACCACACAGCTTGTGCACAACATATATTAAAGTAAAACCAGAGATCTGACCAATCAGAAGAGAGCACATCAACCAACCAACAATAATTATGACCTTCGTCAACATCCGTCACAGTGATGATTCCTGACACCTCCAGCTGCAGGTAACCATCAGTGTCACAGGTTGTTCCTGTCGTTCTCAGGAACTCCTCCAGGGAATTTCTGCAAATTTGGCCAGACGTCCACTTGGACTCGGTGATGAACTGAGAAGAAGAGTCTTTGGTTCACTGTCACAGAATCAAAAGAAACTAAAATGACTGAACATGAACGGTGTTGAACATATAAGAGGCTGCTGTCAGTCGTCTATGACTCACAGACACAGAAACACTGATATCTGCTGCAGCCGTCGAGGGGAAACCCTGTCAGGCTGCCCGTCTCAGACACAGCGATCAATAAACATCTCGTTAAGTGTTTCACTAATTGTGTTAACGGTGAGCCTGAACTCTCCGTCCCCTCGTTTGTCACGGCTCTGATTCGATCTCCGAGCTGCCGCCTCGAGCAGATTTCTCTCTGTCGTCTTCAGTCTGTGTTTGAACGATCTCCAGCAGAGAGGAGCGCTGAGTGCCTCGCTCGAAGACACTCAGCCGCTGATGGACGGTGTCAATGGAGAGCATTTGGAGCTCTTCATCACCACGTCTGTCTGCTGTCATCATCACGTCCTTCCTGAGAAACATTTGGTGGCTGACGAGTGTTACAGGTCACAGTGTGTGTGTGTGTGTGTGTGTGTGTGTGTGTGTGTGTGTGTGTGTGTGTGTGTACTGTGTGTGTGTGTGTGTTACTGTGTGTGTGTGTGTGTGTGTGTGTGTGTGTGTTACTGTGTGTGTGTGTGTGTGTGTGTGTGTGCTGACATTTACAGACCAGCAGACATGAAAGAGAGGCAGACGAGGAGGAGGAGGAGGTATGAGAGTGGGAGGAAGAGAGGGAAAACAAAAGGAGTAGCTGCTCCTGAGATCTATAGACGGCTGAATAATTCTTCCTAAGCCCCGCCCCTTTTTGCTCTGTGCTCCAATCACAGTCGGGCAAAACTTGGGGCTTTCTCCTTTCCTGTACTTAGATATGCTATGCTAGGCTAATCTGTATTGAAAAGACAACCACAATTTGAAGATGGCTAAAAGATAAAAGAGATATATATATATATATATAGTCACTATATTAAGTTAGCTAATGTTAGCAACACGCTAGCTAACCACCAAGCAGCTAGTTAGCTACATCAATAGTTAGCTGGTAACTAACTAACTGTCTCTTTTATCTTTTAACCACGTGTAAACGCAGCTAGCCTTGATAAGAAAACATTACGCCCATCATAATAATTTCAGATACTTCGAGCGAACAGTTTAAATGTTATTTAAGTATTTATAGAATTTAGATAATTTAGAATAACTATCTGACCTCGATGCGACAGGCTATCCAAATGCCAGATGAACGTCTTCACCCAGAAACGTTTTCTTTTTACCCGGATAAAGAACGACGATAGATAGCGCGAGGACAACCACCAGATGCTGCTGTTGGGACGCATATCACATATTTAAAGATTATAAAAACGTTTTTCATTATTTTTTAATGCGTTCTGCGGAGAAGGGAGACTGGCTTTGGTCACGGTTCGGAACGAAAGGGAGGAAACAGGAGAGAGTAACACGGCAGATATCGCTCGGCCTACTTTTTCTTTTTTTTGACGACGTAGTTAAGGCGGCAGGCGTGTGTTGCTAACTGCAAAGTGCTGCAGGAAACCCTGGTATGGAACCAATATCAGATTTCCTTCATGGAAGTAAAATAGGTGTTAAACTGAACCTGTTGCAACCTGCAGACACTGACCCTCCGTATGACGTCCTCCCATGTCCCGGTCTTCCGGCTAAAGAGGCGTTTGTATCATCAGTAAACGCGAGCGCCTGTTTTCTCCTCCAGACCATGCAGGGCAGCGACTGTATCTTCGAGGCGGTGGAGCAGCAGGACCTGGACACGGTGCAGATCCTCCTGTACCAGTTCTCAGTGGAGGAGCTGGACCTGAACACCCCCAACAGCCAGGGCCTGACGCCGCTGGACATCGCCATCATGACCAACAACACGCCCATCGCCAAACTGCTGCTGAAGGCCGGCGGCAAGGAGAGTCCGCACTGTGAGTACCACACAAGAACTCCTCCAGGAGGGGTCTTCTTTAGTTAATAAAATATATTATATTATTAAAATATAAAGTAATATAAACTGTAGCAGCCAAAAACAAAATTATTAAAATACAATTTTTAGCTTTAATTTAACATAAAATCTGTTTAATGTTGAAAGATATTTACAGTGTAAACAATGATCTATAAATCCAGGTGAACTCTGCTATAATACAATAATCAGACTTACATTTACAGCAGAGTGCTGTTATTATTGGATTGTTATTATTTTAATGTGAATGTTAAAAGTTATAGAAGTGTAATAAAAGTCATTATCTGTGAGATTACAGTAATTATTGCTGTCTAGCTTAGCTTCGCTACAAACAGTGTGAATGTGCTTCTAGTGACTGTAAAAGCTCGAGTGGACTCTGAGAGTCTGACAGCAGCTGCTCAGGGCTGCTTAGCTCCTACAGTTTGTGGACTTGTCGGGTCGGAGAGAGTTTAGTTTAAGGAAAGACGCTCACTGCTCGAACCCACCGAGAGCGGCTGTCCGTCCGCTGGAGCCGATCGCAGCCGCTCTCGGTGGCGGTTGTGACTCCAGCAGGACGCCGCTCCAGGAGCGTCCGTCCACGGCGAGCTGCACAGAGCGAGCAGGAAGTCACACAAACTACACAGAGGCTGTGTTTGTCTCTGGGTCTCCTCTACCCCCCCCCCCCACACACACACACACACACACACACACACACACACACACACACACTCACAGACTCACACACAGACACAGACACAGACACACACACAGACTCACACACACACACACACCCCCTCCATCAGTCCCCTGGTTGTCCTCCATAAACCCTCCAAAGACAGGTGGTTCTTACCTTACTGCTGACACCCCCACTGTCTGGCCCTGTGTGTGTGTGTGTCTGTGAGTGTGTGTGTATGTGTGTGTGTGTGTGTGTGTGTGTGTGTGTGTGTGTGTGTGTGTGTGTGTGTGTTTGGGGGGGGGGTTTAAAACAGTGGCCACTTTACAGCGAGTGGGGGCCTCCTGCGTGCCTCCCCCCCGACCAGCTTTAACAAGGTTTGTCGTTTAATGGTTTAACTGTTCCAATGATGCGTGTAACGCCGGGGCAATTACAGCTAAGTGATTTATTGTGCTGCGGGGCCGCAGCGGCGAGAGCTCTCCACACGGCGGCCCCGGACTCTGGGCGGCGGTACAATCCCATCCTTGTAAACAAACACAGAGTAAACATTGCTGCTGTTTTCCCTCTTGGGGCCTGCTGCTCTCTGTTTATGTCATTCCTCAAGTGCCAAGCAAATCAGTCAGCCTGACAGCAGTGTGTGTGTGTGTGTGTGTGTGTGTGTGTGTGTGTGTGTGTGTGTGAAAATCTCCATTACAACTGAAGCCCCGCCCTCATATAACTCAGAGTAAACACGTGGACGTCTGTTCGTGCCAGAGAACATAAATAAAGTTTAAAAAGTAGAGTAGAAGAAGAAACTGATGCTGCTGTTACAGGATCACTGCAGCTGTTTAACATTGAGGAGGATCTGTTGTCAGAGATAGAATATAATGTTTAAAGCTAGGGAAGCCCATTGCACGATCAGGCTGCAGTGACAGAGGACGACATCGTCTGAGGAACAACCAAACCCCCATCAGGGGCCCCAGGGGCCCGTACAGTAACACACAGCCAACACACACACTAACACACAGTAACACACAGCCAACACACACACTAACACACAGTAACACACAGCCAACACACACACTAACACACAGTAACACACAGCCAACACACACACTAACACACAGTAACACACAGCCAACACACACACTAACATACAGTAACACACAGCCAACACACACACTAACACACAGTAACACACAGCCAACACACACACTAACACACAGTAACACACAGCCAACACACACACTAACACACAGTAACACACAGTAACACACAGCCAACACACACACTAACACACAGTAACACACAGCCAACACACACACTAACACACAGTAACACACAGCCAACACACACACTAACACACAGTAACACACAGCCAACACACACACTAACACACAGTAACACACAGCCAACACACACACTAACACACAGTAGCACACAGCCAACACACACACTAACACACAGTAACACACACTAACACACAGCCAACAGAGGGGAGCTCAGAGACACTATAACACACACTAACACACACTAACACACAGTAACACACATTAACACACAGTAACACACAGTAACACACAGTAACACAGTAATACAGTAACACACACTAACACACAGTAACACACAGCCAACACACACACTAACACACAGTAACACAGTAATACAGTAACACACACTAACACACAGCCAACACACACACTAACACACAGTAACACACACTAACACACACACTAACACACAGTAACACAGTAACACACAGTAACACACACTTACACAGTAACACACACTAACACACAGTAACACACAGTAACACACACTAACACACAGTAACACACAGTAACACACACTAACACACAGTAACACACACTAACACACAGTAACACACAGCCAACACACACACTAACACACAGTAACACACAGTAACACACACTAACACACACTGTAACACACAGTAACACACACTAACACACAGTAACATATAGTAACACACTAATACACAGTAACACACACTAACACACAGTAACACATACAGTAACCCACAGTAACACACACATAACACACACAGTAACACACAGTAACACACACTAACACACAGTAACACATAGTAACACACTAATACACAGTAACACACACAGTAACACACAGTAAAACACACTAACACACAGTAACACATAGTAACACACTAATACACAGTAACACACACTAACACACAGTAACACACACTAACACACAGTAACACATAGTAACACACTAACACACAGTAACACACACTAACACACAGTAACACACACAGTAACACACACTAACACACACAGTAACACACACTAACACACAGTAACACACACACTAACACACAGTAACACACAGTAACACACACAGTAACACACACTAACACAGTAACACAGTTTAAAGCTGAAATGCGGTCGAGTGGAAGAGTTGTCGATTATTATTAACATTTTCAGCTTTTATAATTTAATGGATGTAAACGTACGTAAGGAAGATATAATATAATAATATAATAATATAATAGAATGTTTCCTCTCTCCTTCCCTCCGTCCTCAGTCTCTCTCATGGTTACCCTCTCTCCAGTCTCACTCTGTCCAGTCTCACTCTATCTAGTCTCACTCTCTCCAGTCTCACTCTATCCAGTCTGTGTTGGTCCTTTTATGGTTTTCTTTCCATCTTTCTGACCTCGGTTTGTTCTTTCCCGGCTCTCTCACGTGGACGCTGCAGCGTCTCCTTTTGTCTACTGTGAAACGAGGCTCAGCCCTCGCTGGCCTTGACAGAGCTGAACCTGCAGCGTCGACTCCTCCACGAACCGCATTGAGGACCAGCGGGAGTATGACGGGAGGACACGTAGTCCTGTTGGCAGCTGTGTTTGTTGAGTGCTGGATCTCTGCTGCTTTATGTTTAAGACCTCACAGACACACAACAGTTTGTATTTGATTGTGTGCAAAAAGTACGTCTTAATTCAGGTTCAGACTGCACAATATTTCCCTCCCGACCAATCGCAGCTCGCTGTCTTTTATGACCTGTGCGATGTCGTCAGGAAGGAGGAGCTAGGGAACAAGAATGTAAACAAACATGGCGTCTGTAGCGGTGTGTATTAGGGATGAGCGAGTACACCATCGTCTGTATCTCTTCAACCAACTAAATTATCTGTATTTGTATCCGTACTCAGGAGGGGCAAAGGGCCGCAGGTCGGATTCAAACCCGGGCCGCTGCAGCAACTCCGTACATGGGTCGCCAGCTCTACCGACTGAGCTAACCGGGCGCCCGAAGTTGTTCAATTTAAGCCTGAAGTTAATATTGGTTGATCAGAAGTTGCTATGTTTATAAGAAAATTTTCAACGTTTTTGATGGAGAATGATGAATAGAACTATATCTGTTATTACAAGTACGTATATTGGCACATTTTACTCGTTTAGTACTTATAAAAAGTACTTTATCTATAGCGGGTACTAGTTTCAGCCGAGTAATCAGCTCAACCCCAGTGTGTATGCTCCTTGTCCATGTCGTGAGTTGAAAAGTCTAAAAAACAAGAAAAGAACATCTTTCCTGTTTCACTTCACCATGTTTACAGGTGGAGAACGCTCAATGCTCCGATCCTGTCTGGGATAAAACCACAAACTGTATAACTAAAACAGTTCATAGTCTCAGTGACGTCCCTCGTAGGTTTCTGAAGAGTCGTTATGAGGCTCACTGTGGTCTGCTCTGGCCGTCGCCATCTTGGATTTTCTTAGGGGGTTTCACAAGGGTCAATTCTGGGACCTTTGCTTTTTATTTGTACATACATGGTCACATGAGAGGAACAGAATAAGGCCACCCCTAGGGCCGTCACACCACTCAGCAACGTTATAAATAACACACATACAGTTTATCTTCCATTATGCTGATGATACACTGCTGTTCACTGTCAGCAAGTGTCACTGATTGTTACTGTGGAAACACTGGTCAACATCAGACACTGTATGATTACAGTCCGTAGTCTCCATTAGGTCCCCCACAGGTTTGTGCAGAGTCGTTGTGAAGCTCAGTGTGGTCACACCAAATCTGTGTAACACATGGTATCAGCTCAAAGACGGCAATCTCAATTTAGCTGATAAACTGTACAATGAACCAGTGAACATAATAACTTCAGGAAGTTTGTGTAAAACCAGGGATTTTGATGAATTTTGAGCAGGTAATTTTCTGTGAATATTGATCAGAGATGAGTTTTCATGATACTTTTATGTATTTTTAACTGACTTAATATTCTGACAGATTCACTGTTTTCTTCTCATTGTTCTATCACCTCTTTGGTTTCTGATGCAGGACGAGGCTGTTGATCAGAGACTGAAGCTCTGTCAGTGTACACTCTGATCAATGATAATAATATAATTATTATTTAGTAGATATAGGCCTACTGTGTAAATTTGTAAAATTGTAGTTTTTTTACTCCCCTTAAAATCAAGAAATTAAGCTATGGCGACCACTACTGGTTGGGAACCACTAAACACACTAAAAATGGGTATATGGTAGGAAGAGGCAGAGCTGTTTAATCCATCAGGTTTGTATGAAATATTGGTAATGTCCATGTTGTAAGGCTCCAGGTCTCAGTGCAGTACTCTCTCTCTCTCTCTCCGTTGTAGTTGTGAGTGTGGAGAGTCGGGAGGCCCACCTGAGCTCTCTGGTGGTGGAGGCTGAGCAGCGGGCGGCGGACATGGCGGCTCAGGCGCAGAGAGAAGGCCTCTCTCTGGAGGCCTGCCATAAGGACAAACAGCTGAGAGCCTGGGAGTGGAGGAGCAAGCTGTACAAACGCATGAAGACCGGCTTCCAGCACGCACGTGAGTCAGCACCCATTTACACACCCATGGGTGTGATAAAAAGTCGGAACATCAAATATGTAACCTTGTGGAAGTTACATTTATATTTGTTTACTTCTTTTCATTTGGCAGAGGCTTTATTAATAAGAACCAATTCAAGCCGCAGTGAATCAAGGAGAAACCTTTTGAGCAACAAAATTCCACTTGAATTCCACAAAGTTACAACTTCATGTTCCATTTTGAAAATTCAGTTATCGATATTGAAATCACTGTCACGCCACTGACATGCTGATAGACATAACCTCAGGCTTTTGATAACTTTTATAACATCTTTAGACCACACTGACTAAATCTGAAGTCAATCCGATCCATTCCCTAGGAGGAGGAGTTAAAATGCAAAGCCTGGAAATGGCAAAAACTGACTTCCTGTTGGGTTTAGGATGTGGCTCCAAGAGGCATGATACATGTGTCTACTAATTTTCTTATCTGAGTGATTCATTGCAATTTGGAGCCATTTTGCTACACTGCAAGACCAATATCCTCTGTAAAGTTTTGTAACATCTGAGTTTCATGAGTTTGGGAGCCTGTTTAGCCCCCCAGAAATGCAATAAATGTAAAATGTAACCTCATTATTCGCCATGTCGCCATGGAAACAGTATTCAAAGAAAAGTCATATCAACATCAATGTTGTAAGGGTCTTTTGACCAAATATCAGCTGGATCTGGTCAACCTGCTTAGAGTAGTACAATAACAATTCCTTCAGATACAACAGGGTCCTGATAATGAGAGAGAGGTTGCAGACTGACTTCAGATTCTGTGCTGATCAGATTTGATTAACTGGACATTGATTTGAGTTTGATACCATCATAAAACTGATGAACTCAATTTCCTCTACATAAGAAACAGTAATGAAATGAGAGATGATTGTGATTCTTTATGAAGGAAACATGAGATGAGTCCTGTAGCACGAGGGACTCTGTGCATCCTGCTGCCTGAAAGCTTCTCACATTATTACTTATTACGCTACGTTCGACTCCATAACATCGTTTTAATTTCAGAGTACTGTGTTTGTCATTTCCAGCTCAGCATAATATTTCTATTGAGACTTATACAGGACCTGTTTGCATATATTGACTTTAATGTGGTATTAAGGTATTCTGTAATATTATATCTGTAATAATTATGTAAACTTTCACCTTTTGTCGAACAGTCTTCACCAGATAGTTTAAACTGTATCTGTGTTTTCAAATAACATACTGATAAACCATATTGAATACATATCATATAACAGGAAAGGTCAAGAGTATTAAATGTCAACTACAAAGAGTCAACAATAGCTACAAAGACGGAAAATGGCTGTAAAGAGTCTCATCCGGTCTGGGCGTCTTGCTCCTATGTAGAAGGGGTGGGAGGGTCTTTTACATGTCTGTTCCCAGCGGCCTGTTGTCTCATAATCTGTTCACGGGTGTGAGGAAGACTTCTTTTTCCATTCAGAGGCTCCTCCAGGCAGAAAGACACTGAAAGATTTCTTATTTGAAGCTGAAGTCATTTAAAGTAATAACCTGAGATTTGCTGCTGCATCACCAAATGATAAAAACCAGCAGTGATCCAGCTGATAACTACTCTCTGACTGCCCAGGAAGTAATGTGTTTGACATTTTCAGACGCATTTCAGAGTTTAATTTGGAATAAAGAAGAGAAGAAAAACAGGAAAATGTACCTGCAGAGGTCTCGCTGTAGCTGGAGAGATGAAAAACAAAAAGCTGAGGAAAGAAGACATCAGGGGCTCAATCAATCAACAAATCTTCAATAATCAATATACACTCTGGTCCCAAAGAAATGCAGTTGTTACTTCAGTTATGTATATTCATTCTTGTATTTTTCTTTCAGTTTGTCTGTTGTGCTTGTTGACGCCTGTCTGTGCCCCTGCTCAGGTGCCCCGGAGGCCCCATCTATGGTTCGTCTGAGCGTGAGCAGTAGCACAACGCTGACCGTCACCTTCCAGGAGCCGCAGTGTCTCAACTCGACAGTTGTGACCAAATACAGAGGTACAAATACACACACAGCAGCTCGTGTTTAAGACCAACGGCTCTTAAAGTGGCTGTTGCTGCGTTTATCTTGAAGAAAAGGTTTGATCTCATAGATTTGATTTCAGAATTGTCAGTTAAGTTTGAGGATGTTAGTTTGTGACGGTGGAGTGAGTGGCAGCAGCGATGGATTCGGCGGAGATATAGAGCTGGGTTTCGTCTGCATAATAATACATAATAGTAGAAATGGTGTGGTAGAGGATGAAGAGAAGGGGTCAAAGCACCAGTGTCATGCACGCGGTCGCCCCCCCTCGTGGCCCAATTGTTGAAAAACGCGTGCTAAAGTGCCCTCTTGGGAGCCAAAAGGTGTGCTAACTTCCCTCAAGTGTCCTCTTGGGAGCCAAAAGGTGTGTTAAAGTGCCCTCTTGGGAGCCAAAACGCGTGCTAAACTGCCCTCTTGGGAGCCGCCCCTGCCCTTCAAAAAGTCTGTGCACGCCACTGCCAAGCACTGAACCCTGGGGAACTCCCTGAGAGACTGGGGCTGTCTTATTGTTCCCACCTAACGTGAAGCAAGTTAACTTTCAAGGTCATGCGAGTTCCATAGGATGATAAAACCTCCTCATAAACACTTCAACTTCTGACAGTAAATCGCAAGAATGCATCAGATGTATTGCTTGTACATTGAACAGAGAGAATGAGATAGAAATAGACAGGAATAGACAATTAAAGACACCTCAAGGGTGCGAGCTGAGCCGTGAGAAGGTTAATTTCCTGTTCTCAGAAGGAACTATTGATTTGTAATGAAAAGATAAGTGTTAACTGTGGATGTGGGTACTTTAACCTCTGTGTTTGTGTGCGCAGTGGAGTGGAGCTGCCTGAAGGATTTCTCACTGCTTGCTGGAGAGATGGTGTTGGATAATCTGCAGGCCCTCAAGTGCATCATCAGCAACCTCACCACGGTAACAGCAGCATCACTCCTGCACTCTCCTCTGCTAACATATAATCACTGTGTGCTTCCGCCGCCACTCTCTGAAGGAGCGTTCAGCCTTCCTTCCCTTTACGTTTTCCTCAAAAGCAGAGAAATACCTCCAGCACCAGACTCACGCTGTGTTTCTGTACGGATCAACCAAACAACGTGTTAATTACAGGAGAGGAGATACATCCCTGTGAGGCAAATGTGTGCTGACAGCTGCTTTCTAACAAACAGCCACTCAAAGCACTGACATGTTGGATTCAGACATGTTTTGGTGTAATCTTGTCTTTCCAGATCCCCGCTAACTTTGCTGTTGTGTGTTTGCTGAGTGGCATCAGTGACATTTGAAGAGTGTGGAGTTTAGTGGAAGCTGCCGTTCATTATGCAGTCTGTGAATCACTGTCTGCCACATAAATACACTCACTGTGCTGCATCTGCTGTTTGCCATTTAGAGCAACGGCCAGCATTCAGATTCATCCACAACAGCCCTGAAAACATTTAGAAAAGAACCTGCTGCCTGAATGGAAAGGACGAGACACACTGTGGGCGTTTAATGAGCCGAGCCGATACATGGAGCTCAGTCTGAGTCCGAATCTCAGGTCAGAATGTTAGCGTGAACAGCGCTGATTTACAAAACGAACGCAAAGAGACGCAAAACGATCAAAGAAAGATATAAAAGCACCACACAGAGACACAGAACAGCTGCAGATATACACTAAACCAACACAGAGACACAAACTGATCACAGACACATAAAACAATGAGAACCAGTCCAGTCTGAACCTGAATCTGAATAACAAACCGTCACTTTCACATGAAGCAATAATGTGACGTTTTCCACATCTGAAAAAGTTAATGTGGCCAAAAGTATGTGGACAGTCAGAACCAAACAGCCTTCGCTCTTCTGGTTTCAGTCCTTCCACCATGAACCTGCTGCAGGGATCTGATCTCATTCAGACTCCAGAGCGTCAGCCGGGTCCAGCACTGGTGTTGGTGGACAGTGTACAGTTTGCAGTGGAAAGTTTACAGTTTACAGTGTACAGTGGACAGTTTGCAGTTTACAGTGTACAGTGGACAGAGGACAGTTTGCAGTTTACAGTGGAAAGTTTACAGTGTACAGTGGACAGTTTACAATGTACAATGGACAGTTTACAGTGGACAGTTTACAGTGTACACTCTGTATGTTAACAGACGGGTTTGTATGTTTCAGGGTCGGCTCTACTACGTTCGAGTGTCGGCTTACAACATGAAGGGCTGGGGTCCTCCCGCCTCCTCCCTGCCTCCCTCTGCAGCTCCCTCCAGTAAGTTCTCTCTCTTTGTGTCACTGTAAGCAGAACATCTCTGAATATCTGAGGACGTCTCTCTGGGCTCCGTGTGGACTAATCAATCAATCAATCAATCAATCAATCAATATACTACTGTGAACTTCACACAGTTTCATTTATTAATGGTCAGCAGATGAATCCTAATAATTCTGATCTCCTTCTAGCGCCACCTATACGTCAAAATGTTCCTCTTTATTATCATTCTTATTTCTCAAGCTAAAGCTATCTGTCCATCAGAAACTCTGTAAATCACAGAGAGATGAAGCTGAGCAGCTGGAGGACGTCAGAGGGAAAACCAGGAAATATTTTCTCCATAAAATCTGATCCAGTTTCACCAAAATCACTGAATACAGTTATAAAGCTAAGCTAATGTAGGTAGGTCTTTGTACAGTACTCAGTGAGGCCATAGATTGTCTGTAACGACCCTCAGAAACACTCCGCTCCGGCATCGTCAGAAGAGAAAAAGTGTTTGTATATGCCCCCGAGTGCAGGATGAAAATACCCGAGACTTCCTGTCTCTGTTGGACAGAAACACTGATTCTGACTTACAGAGTATTTTTAATGACGGTATTTCTACCATTACATTACACTTCAGCCGCCTGCTGGTGCTAATTAGTGTAATGAGTTAAGTTAGAGTCGTTCCTTCGGTAGTAAACAGTGAGTCAGCGTGAATCATGTGAACGTTCTCTCTTCTGTTCGGAGGTCGTCAGCTTGAGAACATCGGTCTCATCTCTCCGTCACGACTCCCTTTATCCACTGAAGCCTTGAGCTGTTTGTGTGAGTGTGTGTGTGTGTGTGTGTGTGTGTGTGTGTGTGTGTGTGTACATATGTCAGAAGCAGAGGACAGAATGTTTGTGGGCGTCTGATTTAAAAAGAGAACAGACAGTGAAAACAGCTACACCTCTGAAGATGTTTGAAACCCATCAGTGAGTCTCAGAGTCTAAATTGGACCAAAAAAAGAAGGCAGGACCTTTTTTAATTTAATTCAACCTCATGCTGCTGTTTTCATCCAATTGAAGGACGACATTTTTTAACCATCCCGTATCTACTGAAGCCCGTTTCAGCCAATGTGACAATAAAACAATTTTTCATAGTAAGAATGACTTCAGATTGAGTCTGTAGTGTTTCAGCTGTACAGTCTGAGTATATACGGCGTGATACTCAACCAACCCATAATGCATTGGGTCTCCTCTGACTGGCCAGTGACAGACTGCGAGGCAGATGATTCAGACACTTCTGAGAATATTTGGATCCAGAAACCAACTGTGTAGACTGTGAATATCTGCAGTTTTACAAATATTGATATTGATTTATTGACTTTTCGGAGCTCCAGAAGAACCAGTGGGGGGAGCCAGCAAGCCAGCCAGGAGGGGCTCCTCTCCAGCCGGCCAGTCCGCTCACAGACCCCTCTCGCCCCCCGACAGTCACACAGACTGTTAGATAACACTGAGATAGAACCCTCCTCCTCCTCCTCAACCCTGCAGCTACTCTCATTCTTCTAATTCTTTTGAGTTATGAACGTAGAGTAGATGTTACAAATGTAACATTGTTAACTGTCCATCAGCTAACATTAACCAAGCAGGGATAGCTACTAATTTATCACATCAGTCTTTCCTTTGTAACTGTGATGTTTCGGAATACAAACATTAAATCGCGATACAGATCTGTGAGAGGAACTATCAGTCGACCGCGGTATCGAGGTGTAAAAGACTTCAGGAGTGACGTCCTTGTGGATTAAAATGGATTTAAGTGTTTTTTCGCTCTATTTTCCCAAATGTTGCTGCTAATCAGACAGATGCTAACATGCTAACACCAACATACCTGACCAAAGGTTCTCCTTGAGATAGTCTCTCAGTGTTTGTCCTCTGTCTGCTCAGACTGGAGGGAGAGCGACGGACGGGAGCCCCGGAGGCGAGGCCACATCGAGGCCATGGAGCGTCTGCTGCAGCAGGTCCGAGCGACTCACACACACTACTGCTGTGGAGGTGAGTCTGAGGAACAGAACGTAATCATATTCTGTAATATTCTTAACTCTTTATTCTCAACTTTATTTATACAGAACCTTTTTATACAACCTGCAGCCTGAAGTCCTTCACAGAGAAACAGCAAAACTAAATCAGCAACAACTGCACAGTTTAATTTAAAAACACAAATTCTACAGCTGTTGTTTGCCCCAGTACTAATTACCACTGTTACACATCAGACCTGTAACTGTAACTGTGTGTGTGTGTGTGTGTGTGTGTGAATTAAGCCTTCCCACTCGTCCTGGAAAACCTGGAAATTAAGAGACTAGTTTTCCAGTCATTTAAACACCTGGAAATTAATTAAAATTGCCCAAAATCCTGAAAATAATCCCTGTTGTGGAAAGTGTTAATTATTAGGGATGCGCGATAACTTTTTTTTTAAACCGATAACCGATAACTTTCAGCTCCTAAAGGCCAAAACCAAAAACCGATAACACACACACATAAACAGGTATATATGATCATGACCTGAGATCATGACATTAATACAATGGACAAACCCAAAAACACTTTTGTTTTTAAATGTTTAAATTTAAATGTTGATATTTATTTTTTCCAATGAAAAACTATTGGCAAGCTTCTCAAAAAAAAAAATAAGGCCCCTTGAACTGATGCAAATACATGCATCGGGATTACAGACTGAAAAAGTGTATTCCAGAAGTTCAAAAAAATAAATATATATGGAAAATTGATGCACTGACACAAGTTAGATTCAAACATTTCTATGTAAACACAATCTGAAAAAGTGCATTCCTCAATAACAATAAATAAAATGTGGATTACTGACACTGAACGAGTCCGGACCGAGTCTGTTCCGGTCTGAGGAGACCCGGATACGCGAGGACAAACTGGAATCAGAATCTGTGGATGTTCGTCTGTAGCTAGCTGCTACACCTTCAAACACAACCTCATTTGGCCATCCATGAAAAAGCTACTTAACCTCCCACTTTTCTATAGCAATACATACTTCCTACGGGCACTGCACTAGTTTGTTACAAATAACAAGCGACCTGTCTTCTTCAGAAACTTTGTAAAGTCCCACACAATCGACGCCGTGTTGTTTGTTATCAAACGTAAGCACGCTGTGTAACAGAATTTCCCTGTTCCTACATTTGGTAGTCGTTCTTTTGGCCTTGTTAAGTTCGTGTTTCTATTGTTTATGTGTAACGTGGAAAAATACTGTGGATATCGACATGAGGGGTATTTTTGATTCTCTGTGTTTCCCAGTCAGAAAGAGTTTTTCTGATTATGCCAACGTCACTTGAACACAGCATTCACTGCAGGCCATTCAGGTCTCATAGTGAGAGCGGGGCACTGCCATGCTGACAAAATTATATATGTTATCAGGGCTATTCGTCATGATATCGGACTTATCGGAATGACATAATAATTTCCTGTTATTGTGCACCCCTATTAATTATATTTTAGCCGCTCACTCAGATAATAAACATGAAGGTTTTAAAGGCGTCACAGAGGATTTGGACCCTGGTGGTCATAATGTGATGGAACCCCCCGCAAGAGCTGCAGGTGTGGAGATGTTCTGACCCAGTCATCCATCACGATGTGGTTCTTGTCAAAGTGGCTCAGATCCTCACGCTGCCCATTTTTCCTGCTCTAACACTTCAACTCTGTTCACTGTCTGCCTGATATACCCCCCCGCTGACAGGAGCCCTGATAACCAGAACCAGATAATCAGCGTTACTGTCAGTGCTTACTGTGTTAGGGCTGATCGATGGATATATTACAGTGAGGGGAAACTACAAACAGAAAGTTTAAAAAACAGAAAATAACTATTTTTGTAATTTTTTTAATATTTCCATGTCTTTAACAGAAATTAGACGGACAATCAATAAGTGCAGGAAAAAGACAAAGACAGGAAGTTTAACGAGACACAGGAGGAATAAGAGAATGAACCATAACAATCTGTGAATATTGCCGTAATGAAGCTGAGACTTCCTCATTAAAACGAGTTACATGTGCCGACACTCGGCTGCTGGTACTTTATGTTATTACAGTTTGTGAGCAAATGCTGTCCTGAAGAAAAACTCCTGTAATTGATTTGTTCGAAAGGAGTGTGAACTGACATTTCAACTGCTGTTGCTACGGGCAACAGATAAAGTGATGCTTAACGACGGCTCATTAGTCATTTAGACTCTTCAAGCCGCCTCCAGTCGGTTCCTTCCTGTTCCCGCTGTGTGATGTTTGAAGGATGTCTGTGCAGTTTGTTTCACACTCAGCTGCTGAAAGTGGAAAATCTGAAGCTCAAACACAGTGAACACAAACCTCTCAGTCACTTTAAAGTCTGCATGAAACAGGAAGCAGAGCTGTTTACTTCCACAGAACTCTATTGATTAGCATTTCAGCCAGTAGCAACTAGCGCTAAGAGCTAGTGTAAGCATCTACCTGAGCAAACATGAACATGGGGACTATAAAGGACCAGTTTGTAGGATTTAGTGGCATCTAGTGGAGAAGGTGTAGAAGAAACTACGAGAAAGTCTCTTTCTAGATCCAGTGTTCTGGAAGAGGCCCCGCTCCCTCTGTAGATAAAAACGCAATGATTCTTATATTCAGGTGATTAAACACTAATGAAAACATACCTGTGGATATTATATTAATGTGACACACTGGAGCTTTAAGTGTGTTTTATTTACTGTATCATGATCAGTTCCTGTCTCGCTCTCTTCCTGTCTCGCTCTCCTTCTGTCTCGCTCTGCCTCAAATGGAGACCCGGTGGCCTCGTTAATCAACTCCAACCAAAACTCATTTCTTTATTTACTCGTGTGACGTGCGGCGCTGCACAGTAGGCGCTCTGCCCTTGTCATATTATCCACTTGTCAAACCCAGTTAGCCTCCAGCGCCGCAAACACAGAGAGACCGTTCAAAGCCGTGGAGCGTCGGTGGCGGCCTCAACCTGCTGCTGAAATAACAACCCGGCCTGTGTGCGAGACTTTTCTCTGCAGGTACGGTTGTGTAATGTGTTCGGGGGCGGTGGAGAGCTGGAGGTCGTCCTCTGCAGTCATTAGTCCCACAGGAACTGTTACTGATGCAGGAAGGTTTCCTCTGACACACTCTGAGACGACGAGCAGACAGGAAACACTCAGTCATTAAACACGTTTAATGACTGATTCCATCTGCAAGTTCCCATGTAGAAACAAACCTTCAGATCCAACAGATTAAAGGAGTGTGCAGTCTCTATTATTCATTTAAATCTGTAATCTGACAGCATAGAAATTCCCTTTTACCCTCTGAGAGCAAACCTCCCACCAGCCAGACACAATTAGGTTTATTGCTCAGTTCACATACGAGCAATTTATCTTGGTAAGTTGGTGGAAAACAATTAAACATAGAAACATATAAACAAAGATACAAAGAGAGACATTATGTGCAGAGCTGTACAGGAATGTGCAAAGATATCCTGTTTAAATCTAGAATCATTGAACAAGGATCTAAATTTAATTCCCAAAATATGTGTAATGTAAAAACATCTCAACACCAGGGTTCCCAAACATCCTTGAAAACCTGGAACTGTAGAGACTAGTTTTCCAGTTATGGAAACACCTGGAAATGTATTAAAATGACCAAATATCCTGGAAATAATCTCTGTTTTCCTGCATGTGTTCAGATAGATGGCGGACCCTGCTACCAGACACCTGCAGAACTAATGACCCATCAGCCTCAGACTAAACACAGTGAACTGACCGGGTTTAATGTGTAATATTAGCATGTTAGCATTAAGCTCAAGTACAGCCTCACAGAGCTGCTAGCATGACTGCGAGTGTTGTTTCCCTCCATCCGGTGTGTCCGGTCGTCTGCGGTCCAACGGTAGCTCACCAACATGTCTGCGAGCGTCAGACGGCTCCACGTCTGCCGTCTGTTTACAGGATGGTAATTACGCAACGCTTAATTAGCCGAGGTAAAAAGGTGGGGGGGCTGCGGTCTGGAGATTGGCATCGCTGAGCGGCCGGCCGCCGTCCTCCGTCCTCACAGGGGCCGCAGGGACAGACAGAAAGGAGCGAATGAACGAGATAAGATAACAAACCGGCAACATGGGAGAGTGACTGGACCTCGAACACTTAAACACTCACATCCAGTCAGAGAAACCTGGATAAAGTCAAATTAATGTGAGCATTATCTTCTTTTTCTCTCAGACAGCTCAAAGCTCCAGAACCCGAGCAGGAAGCAGTCGGTCTCCAGGAGCCTGAAACACCTCTTCAACTCCTCCAACAAGTTTGTGAAAACACTGAAAAGGTTGGTGACTCTCTAACCAAATATTCTTTCTTTAATCGATAAATCCGCCGAAATAGTGCCCAACACTGTGTGTGTGTGTGTGTGTGTGTGTGTGTGTGTGTGTGTGTGTGTGTGTGTGTGTGTGTGTGTGTGTGTGCGCAGGGGGATCTACCTGGCGGCCGTATTCTACCATAAGGACAGTTTACTGGTGACAGCCGAGGACCAGATCCCCATCGTGGAGGTGGACGACTCCTACAGCAGCTCCCTCATGCAGGACTTCCTCTGGTTCACCAAGGTACGCCGGAGCAAAACCCCGTCCACATGTCCCCGAAACTGTCCGTCCACACCAAAAACACATCTAACTACGCGTTACACAACATGCAAAGCAAATGTAGCATTAGCTTAGCATAATATATAAACCAAAATCAGACGATGATTGGCTCCAAACACAAAGAAACAAAATAAACATTTAAACAAAACTAAATAAATAAAATGTAATAATAAATCCAGAAGAAGGAGCCTCCATCAGTGACCAGGGCCCGAGGGCGGGACTCAAACCGATCAGGTCAGTTTAGAGCTTAAATCAGTAGTTCCCGACGTCTTCCTAAAGGACCCTTTAAGTTAACTATTTTATAGATATTTCATCAAGGTCGATGAATCTTAAGAAGATTATTTCCTGTTGAGTGAACTTTTTATATAATTCTCTGTATTTTGTTTTATTATCGTTAACAATCAGACAGACTTCACAGTATTCACAGTGCTGTAAGTTATCCTTAAACATTAAAGGAAGGAAGATCTTACAGAGAAAAACAGCCTTGACAAAAGACACTTCTTCAAGTTCCTACAACTCCGGAATAATATTCAATCAGAACAGACTTTTACCCATCACAGCACAACCCTTGGAGAATGTATTGAATTACAAAAAAGAGCTCAAGGGGTTTATATCTCACATGTACAATGGCATTAACAGTCTGTTAGAAAAAGAAGGGCTGAAGGTTAGGGGAAAATGGGAGGCTGACTTATCTCACAACTGTGAGGATGATGATTGGACCGAGCTATGTAAAACGCTTCTCCTATAATAGTTAACACATATTAACTCAATACAATCTGATACATAGAATTTATTATACCCCAGAAAGACTGCATGATATAAGTCAGACAATCTCCCAATACTGTCCGAGGTGTAAATCTGAAATCATTCACATGTTCTGGTCTCGTTCACAATTGTCCAACTACTGGGAAACAATACTTCCTGTCCATAGACCATATCCAAAGTAGTTAAAATAAATAAATAAAAGATGTATAATATGTTATGTATGAATATGGAAAAACTCAAAAAACAAAAAACATTAAAGGAAGATTCCTAGCAGTGTTTCCAATCAGTGCTGCAGAGGTTCTTCCTCTCTGAGTGAGTCAGAGTTCAGTCTGTGATCTTCTCTTCTGTATCTGTCTGTCTGTCTGTCTGTCTGTCTGTCTGTCCCTGCAGCTGTCCTGTATGTGGGAGGACGTCCGGTGGCTGAGACAGAGTATGTCGGTGTCGATGTCGTCGTCCTCCACCCTGCAGGCTCGGCACAAGATGCTCACCGCTGCCAGCCAGCTGCAGGTCAGAGAACAGCAACAGCAGCTTTAATCAGGCTTTTATACTGAAATATACACTTCCTGTCCACTTCCTGTCAAACCACACGTTTTACTCACGTAAAAGAATAAAAATATGAACTTAAAGTTACACTAATGTATATTATTGGATTATAGCTGATAGATGTGGAGCTGGGTACTTTAATTAAGTTCTGATTTACTGTAGTGGAGTAAAAATACATTAAAGTCAGCCGTTGCCATGGAAACGTCCGGTACCGGCAGGCGGTTTAACGGGTCCATAGACGATTGTTGGTTCTCCTCCTGCAGAGCCTGCTGGGAACTCACAACCTGGGCCGTGTCCACTACGAGCCCATCAAGGATCGCCACGGCAACGTGCTGCTGGTGACCATCCGCGACGTGGAGAGCCAGCACTCGCTGCTCAGCGGGAAGTGGATGCAGGTCACCAAACTGCAGAGCCAGAGGAAGTCCCTGTCCACGCCGGAGGAGCCGTACGCCCTCGACATCCTCATCATCACCATCCAGGTGAGGCTGCAGGCGCCGGGCCTCTGCCCCGAACATTAATGTTCATTCATATATTGTTCTGTCGTCCTGGGTAACGAGGTCCGGCAGTGAGTTCGGGGACGGTTTCAGTTTTCTTCTTCAGAGAATCATTAAACTAAAGATACCTCAGAGGAAACCAGCTCCTCAAACCAGGGTTCCCTACACATCCTGGAAATACAGAGTTTAACAGTCACTGGTTGAAATGACCAAAAAATAAATATTTTATGTTTATGTCTCTCTCTCTCTCTCTCTCTCTCTCTCTCTCTCTCTCTCTCTCTCTCTCTCTCTGTGTGTCTGTCTCTCTCTCTCTCTCTCTCTCTCTCTCTGTCTCTCTCTCTCTCTGTCTCTCTGTGTGTCTGTCTCTCTCTCTCTCTCTCTCTCTCTCTCTCTCTCTGTCTCTCTCTCTCTCTCTCTCTCTGTCGTCTCTCCTCCAGGACATTTTGGCGTACCAGCGCCGCAGCACTCACCGGTTGGCCCCCGGCCTCTACCTGGGCTACCTGAAGCTCAGCAGCTCTGTAGACCAGATCAAAGTCCTGGTGTCCCAGCGGACCCCCAACATGCTCTGTCACAGCCGCATACGAGACAACGCCAACGTCTCCAGGTACACACACACACACACAGACACACACACACACACACACACACGACACACACACAGACACACACACACACACACACACACACACACGACACACACACACACACACACACACACAAACACTCTGTGAGGATAAAGACGAGAACACTGACAACAGAACTCCCTGTGAAGGTTACTGCTGGGTAATAATAGTAATATTCTATAAGATTCATGAATACAGAACAACTCAAGGCTGCAGTGGTTCAATGGGCAGAACGAGAGTCGTGATGAAGAACAGAAACCGATGTTTTAATCCAGAGGAGGAGGAACAGAGTCAATGTCCGTCTGTCCGGACTCACTGTTCTGGTTCACTCTGAGAGAGAGAGAATACTGGATCCATCAATTCAATTCAATTCAATTTTATTTGTATAGCGCCAATTCATAACAGAAGTTATCTCAGGACACTTTTCAAATAGAGCAGGTCTAGACCGAACTCTTTAACATTACATCAGAGGACTCAAACACTGGTTCCAGGAGGGTCTGAGAGCAGCTTGTGGCCAACAATTGCATGCGACCTGAGCACCAGAAAAGCTGATTAACTGAAACGGAAAAATAAAATAAACGCGACAAAACGAGGGAAAATGAAGAGAGGCAGAAATAGAAAACCAACCAAGCCTACAACCAGCCCTACTACTATAATCCCATCCATCCCCACTACTGAGAGTCCATCCCGCCAAGCCCCGGTCCTTCAGCGAGAGCATCAGACTCGGAACCAGAGGAGAAGACAACCGAGTCTGGGATAGAGCCCGGCCCCAAGACCCAAATTAAAAAGGTCAACATATATTCCTTCAGACAGGACTGGCTTAAACAAGTTCCCTGGCTGAGGTACAACAAAGGACGTAATGCAATGCACTGCGTGTACTGTCAGGAGTGTGGTCAGAATATGGCCGGAAATAGTGCATTCGTGAGCGGGTCAACAACGTTTCATATCGAAACTTTAAAAAAACATAACATGTCTAAAAAACACACGATATGCCGTGACAAGTGTGTAGAGAAAGTGGCCCCTCTCCCAGCTGCATTTCAGCGGCAGGTAGTAGTAATCAGGTCCTCTTTTAATTGGAAATGTTCAATTTCAGCTCAATTCTTGTTTAAAAATCATTCACATTATATGAAAGTTATGGAGAGCGATAAAAAGGTGACCTTATGGCGTTAAAGGCGACGCAATGAAAAGTTTGGGTGCTCCTTAATTTTGTGCTGGTGCACCTAAAAAAAAAAGTTAGGCGCACCAGTGCAACCAATGCAAGAAGTTAGTCTGGAGCCCTGGTCTGTTGTGATGTTTTTAGGCTGTTTTCCTGCAGTGAACTGAGTGAGTGAGAAAGGTTTATGGTATGAATCGCAGTGTTTGGAGGGTAAATATAAGACGTTCATGTCGCACACGTCTGCAGCTTCACACATAGAAACAAGGAAGTGAGTCTGGTGATGTTTTGTGCAGGAAACTACTATAATTGGTCAGATTTATTGAACAATTGCAGGGATTGGTTCAATTTGCCACTAGATCATCAGCACCAATTGATCAAGCGATCGAACCTCCTCAGTTAAAGATCTTTGTGTCGTTGAATCTGAAGCTGCTCCACTCTGAACTCTGGAGGTTAAACCTTCCGATGTGAGCTCAAATGTGTGGAATGAGAGCTGTTTGCACCTCTCACATGTTGTCATTCAGTCGCCCAACAGGGACGCTAATCTGCCGGTATTACATTACACAATCACTACACAGTGTGTGTGTGTGTGTGTGTGTGTGTGTGTGTGTGTGTGTCTCTGGATCTCTGTCTTTTGTGTTCGATCCGATCTGATTGGCTGTGAGCTCTGGGCAGGTAGAAGTATTTCTGCTCTTTGGCCTCCATCGCAGGAATTTCTGGATGCAGAGCAGCTTCACATTCCCACCTCGCACAGATTGGAAAGTGTGAAGTGAGAAACAAAAGGAGGAGGGACTCTGCTGAGGGACTTCCTGCCCGGCTGTAATGAGTCTGTGTAAACCAGCCGGTTGTTGGTTGGTTGGTTCTGGTCAGAGGTGGCAGAGCGGGACACAGAGAGGCTATTGAACCTGTGGAGAAACTCAGACCTTCAGAGAACAGGGACAGGAACAGGAAGAGGGACAGGAACAGGAAGAGGGACAGGAACAAGGACAGGTACAGGAAGAGGAACAGGAAGAGGGACAGGAAGAGGAACAGAAAGAGGAACAGGTGAAGGTGTGAGTAGTCCTCACCTGGGACAGGAACTGAAGCTGCTGATATTTTTGTCCTGTTCCAACATATTTATTTACTTAAAACAACACAAAGTGCGACAAGAATATATCGATCTAATAAACAACAATAAAACAATATAAGATAAAAACAATAATAATAATAACTAGAGATGTCCGATAATAATGTTGTTACAGTTTTGGTGTAAAAAGCCTACCGATATCGGTATCGGGTGATATCGGTATCGGAAATTGAGAGTTGGACAATATCGGAATATCGGATATTGGCAGAAAAGCCAATATCGAGCATCCCTAATAATAACAATACAGCAGCTTCTGAAGGGAAAGTTACGTCAGCCAATAACAGGTTCATTGTTTATTTATGTTTATTTATTGGTTTATACAGGCACACAATAATAAACACTGAGTGCAGATATACAACATAAGGTTGAAATTATTACTGACATCGTTTAGAAACAATGAGCTGCATTGTCTGAATGAAATACTCCTGCTGCACCTCCTGCTGCCCCTCCTGTGAACTGATGTGTGTGTTGTGTTCAGGGAGGAGTGGGACTGGATCCAGACGCTGTCGGCTGCAGGAGAAAAGGAGCAGACCGGGGAGGAGAGCGAGGAGGCGGGGCCTAGGCCGGAGAGCCACGCCCCTTTACTGTACTACGAGCTGCAGACGGCGATCAAGTCTCTGCTGAAACACATCAACCTACCTCTGCCCCAGGTAGCTCAGCTGTCAGGACTGATCCCAAGAGCAGCACATATACAATACGACTA